TCATTCCAACAACTGCCCATCCCCCCGTGGCAGCCCTAATCTGAATCAAGATGAATCCGGGGCTGACAGCTCCCTGATCTGATCATATGCTTCTTTCTCCTCAACTCCTTCCTGTCAGTGACAACAGACATGAAAATGGCCTGCTGGTCAAATTGCTAATATACTCTAAGCTTCTATGATTTAAAACACATACATAAACCACAGATATCAGCACACTCAAAATAAGTTTTGAAATAAGAAAAAACCTTTTACCTACTAGCTGCTAAGTTTTTGAACAAAGCTTATCTGTTGAGCTTTGTGGACAGGTCATCAAATAAAAAACGTGTGTACTGGACAAACAGCATTAAGACAAAACTTTGGCCCACTAGCCAGGAAGTTGTTTCACTGTTTTGTCATTATTGAGCTAGATTGAATCCTTTACTATTATTTCTTTGCTTGAATCAGTTTTATGATTAGTTGTAATTAAGCAAACAACGGAAACTCCTTCCTATTTTCTCCACAATAATTTATCTTTCCAATGGTACAGTATCAATCCTTAGCTCTATTAAGAGCGTGAAGAATTCATTTATGATATCCAATTATAAAATTCCATGTGGTAAGTATATATTTCAAAAGAATATTATCTTCTGGAAAAAAATTAGCTTTTGTCACACAATTGTATTTAGGTAATCCACTACTTTCTCCCAAAACTTGATAAATATAGGACTTTTAGGGACATTTTAAAAATGACATCTCTAACAAAAAGTTGTTTTGACAGCCTATAATTTAAGGAACTTTTTGGGATGAATAAGGAACTTTAAGGAACTTTTTTTTTATGAATAAGTTTTATAATGTAAGATCCATTGACACTCTTTCTCTAGAAATTAAGAGAATGTCTTAACTATTTAGACATAGGAATCCCCAATTCATTATTCCACTCGTTTCTTCACAAATGCATATGAAATTGATTTAATGCTAATGAATAAATTTAAAACAATAGTAATGTTTGTTTTTGTTTTAAAGGATTTAACAAGTTGTTCCAGTATCTTAGACATCTCAAAAGCTGAAAATATTTCTGAACCAAATAATGTTGTTAAAAATGTTGTAATTGTAAATTTTGCCATTGGGTTATATCTGAGAAATTATATTTATTTCTTAATATGGAATATGTTAAAATTCAAGTTCATCCTCTATAAATTAATCCAAAATCAACCTCCCTGCTTCTGTCCAATTTTGTAGATTTCCCCATAAAGTCAGTTTGGCATGAAAAAAGGATCAAATCTTTTTTTTTAAATCAGACATTTCATTCCATAACTTCCTGACAGACATAATTATTTCTAGAGATTCTAAAATAGTAGCATATTTAGATCATAATCCGGTTCACCAAATCAAAGGTGCTATGTATGTATATTCTAAAGTTGCCCAAAACAGAAAAACCCAATTGTTTGCTTCCAGTATATGATATGGTAAGATAAGTATGATGATACAGATTTGTAAAGATTTATAAAACCAAATTCTTAGTCATTAATTGGTAATTGTACCCTCTGTAAAAATATTCTAGGAATCAAAGAACTAAAATTTTTCTAAACAAATAGTTTATTTTCTGAAAACTTTTCCAGGAACATTATATAATCCTGTCAAAATATAAATTAATCTTGGAATAATATTCATTTTACAGAATACAAAATTCCAAGAATTGGAAGGATGTTGGAGGTCTTCTAATCCAATCCCCTGCTCAAGTAGGAAGTCCTATATTATCCCAGACAAATGATTGTCCAATCTCTTCTTAAAAACCCCTAATGATGGAACTCCCACAACTTCTGGAGGCAAGATATTACACTGATTAATTGTTCTCACAGCCAGGAAATTTCTCCTTAATTCTAGTTTGGATGTCTTTGTTAATCTTCCATCCATTACTTCTTGTCTTGTCCTCAGGAGCTTTGGAGAATAGGTTGATCCCTTCCCTCTCGACGATAGTCTCTCAGATATTGGGAGACTGCTATGCTGGCTGAGGAATTTTGGGAGTTGAAGTCCACAAGTCCTAAAGTTGCCAAGTTTGGGGACCCCTGGACTAGATATTCCCAGTTCCCACAAATGTTCATTGTACAGTTTAGCCAGTCTCCTAATCATTTTTGTTACTCTTCTCTGCATTCTTCCTAGAATCTCAACATCTTTTTTTGTATTGTGGTGACCAAAACTGGATGCAATATTAGAAGTATGGCCTTACCAGTGCAGCATAAAGCAGTACTAATACTTCACGTGATCTTAATATTATCCCTGTATTGGTGCAGTGTTCACCTTTCCCCAAAGGGTAAGGTTTAATGTCTCTCAATTATCAATATTTGAAGAAACCTCTATCCATATTTTATTTATATTATTACATATTAGTAACTGGATTATATCCTCCGGAATATAATGTATTTGGTACAAATACCAAATTGATATTCCTTAAATGGAATAGGTAACTCAATTTTCACCTATTGGCATCAATTCCGATTTGAACCAGTTAATAATGCAAACTGCTATTTTGTTAAAGGCAGCTACTTTTGCATAAACATTGGGATAGCAGTATAACATTTAGAAAAAACCAAAAGACTGCCCTATGCAAAAATTAACCCAAAATTAATCAATTAACACAAAATTAATTGTGTTAATTGTTAATTAATAAATTAATTGCTACTCCACAGATATCTCTGTGTTGTCTAACAGCACAAACCAAGAGTTCCATGGATATTAAAAAACATGGGTGAAAGTGGGCATCCTTGTCTACTTCTTCTAAATACCAGAAAAGTAGAGATAGAATGCCATTAGTCTTTACATGTGGGTGATTCATATGATAGCTTAATCAATTTTACGAATTCATAAGAAAGCCTGAATCTATCTATTTTTCTTTCTATCTATCTATCTATCTATCTATCTATCTATCTATCTCCATTATAGTTCTATAGATTTCCTATTGGAATGATTGTCCTAGCTTTCTTTATTTTAAATGATTAGCCATGATATTACTGGGCCTTTTGCCATTCTCCCAATATCTGTTGTAGATTTTTAAGCATAAATTCTGTCTGCTGTGATATTATAGTGGTTAGTACATATTTCTTTTTCAATATTTGTCTGTATAAAACTGTAGATGGTTATCTAGCCATAAATGTTTCTCCTTTTATTTTTATTTTTAATTTCAATTTTTTTTTGTATTATGCATAACCAAGAATTCTGTCGCAAATATATATGTATTCTATATGCTTCCCATTCAAAATTTGGGCACTTGGTATTTCTGAATTCAAATCAAAACATTGTAGTGTCTCTACCTGCATTTTCCCCCTGCTTTACGTTTTTCACATTTTTCTTAGAGCACTTTTTATTATTATTTTTTTGCTTTTTGACAGTATATGTATCATTATCACCATTACCTTGTGTTTTGCTCTTTTTTTGTTATTAATTAAGAAGCAATAACAACTTTTTAAGTCATCTTTTTTGTCAAATTTTCTCTCGATCGAATGCAAGGAAATATTCTTGGACTACAGTACAACCTCTGTAATTCCAGGACAAAAAAAAAACAAGAGACTTGTTTTATGCTCCTATTATTAAGTATGGCAGAAGTTGGAAATATTTTGAATTTTGTTCCATTGAAACAGAGCTAGTTTAAAATATTTCTGTCAAGCCTTTCAAATTTGGAACAGAACTTTTATTTGTCAACTTATATGCCTTTTCAATCACAGAGTCGATCTAGGAGACTTATCCAATTAAATGATATGTTCATTTTGTAAGCTTTATCTTGCTCATTTTCTGTCTTCTGGCTATAAAAAAGGAGGCGAGGATTATTGGATAGAAATAACAGCAAAAATCATGAAACAATTAATAGATAAATACATGTTCTGCATGGATAGCTGACCCAAATATGCTCCCTACCCTAAAAATATGAAAAATATTGAGTAGAACATTCTACTTTGGCCCAGGTCTTTATGCCTTTAGGTAAGCTCAGCATGGTTGGATTATATATTATGCTTTTTTCTCAGGAACAGCTTATCTCCTGAGGTAAACATTGCTTCTATTGTCATGGCCTTTTGGAATTTGGTAAAATATGTCTTTTCCAAGTGTGGCTTAACAAAAAGAAGAAAGAAATGAAATTATGTGTGTTGTGCACATGAATTTATTCATCTGTGTCTTTATCAAAGTGAGGAAGCGGATACATCTTGCCCTTAAGCCCCACACCTATTTCACCACCCAGAATCTACCGATCCATGTTTCAGTTCTGAAAAAGGAAAGATTGTCATTTACTGGTGAAGTGCATATTTTGCCAGTAGAAATTCCTGGATCAGTTCCTGATACCTCTGATGAAAGAATTAGGTAGCAAGTGATGAGAAAGGCATGAGGAGTTGATACCCAAATGATACTAGGTTTATGGACAACACAGTATCTCAAAGATTGCTATTTCATTTATAACTCTGAACATTTAATTGCATTCATAGTTTTACATAACTGCGTTTTTATTTAGCATTTAATATTGAAAAGTTTAGAAGAATTTTAGATTAGTGTTAAGTAAATATTAAATGTTCAAATAATTGAGAAAATTTTCAACTTCCTAGTTAATCACAATTGTATTATCTTTTTTGCAATTCTGTTTTAATTTTGAATATATGAGTAGGCAAATACCTTAAAGCTGATATAAAAAATACCAGATTTGAGGTGATGCTGGTATTTATTTATTTTTAAACATGAAAACTGAGTAAGAGAACCTATTGTGCACTGTCTCTTATACAAAACCATTTCTTTTTAACTATATTTAGCACCTTCTATTGCTCTAAGATTCAGATAATAGTATATATTTGTCAACAATGCTATAAAAACATTTCCCCATTTTTCTCTTGTAGACAATAAAACAAAAGCCTTATTAATATAAATGGTTAACAATTGTGGGAGCAAATCCTGTACATCGTTTATATTAAGCAACAGATTTTTTCCAAGGGTACTAACTTAAGCTATGCTTAAGCCACTAACTTAATTTTCTCCTTTTTTTCTAGACAAATTTTTCATCTGTTGAATGGCAGCTTTCTTCATGTGAACTGCTGTCGATGTCTTCATGCTATAAAACCAGAGTTCCATGATCTACACGTGCTTTCTTGTTCCGCTCCCCAAAAACAGTCATGAGTTAGTTATTTCCAGATATTCATCTTGTTCCACAGGAGATACTTCATTGATATTCTGGAATACAAGGTGCTCAATGAATCGAGAGCCCCCATGAATGAAACAGCCAGCTCTTGCCAGCAGATGGCTAAAAATTGCACCACACATGTAGCAGGGATGGCACAGGAGGACAGGGGTCAAGTACCATCCACTTTCTATCATGATGCCAGCCAGGAACTTGATTTGTCCACCAAGGTATACAAAAGGGAGTCTGGGAGCCCTTATTCTGTACTGGTGGACCCAAAAGCAAGTAAGCCACATCTTCATGACAGAGAGGAGCAGCCATATTTCAGGGAGGAAAGAACAGTAGGAGAGGCCCGAGCCATGAAAGAAGACAGGGAGAACTCTGACGACTTGCAGGAGGAGGACGAGGAAGAAGATGAAGTGACTTACAAAAGGGAGCAGATAATAGTAGAGGTAAACCTTAACAACCAAACATTAAATGTATCAAAAGGGGAGAAGGGGGTCCCTTCCCAATCCAAAGAAACTGCTGTTCTTAAGACCAGCAGTGAGGAAGAGGAGGGTGACAGTGGGGAGGAAGAGGCCACTGAAGACAGTAATGATGATGAGGAAAATGAGAGGCAGAAGAAAAAAGAGCAAAGAGAGGAAAATGATAGTGTTGCACAAAGGAGGACAAGGAGAGCTGCATCTACTGCAGCCGCCACATCTTCCCCTACTTCCAGAACTACAAGGGGCCGTAGAAAGAGCATTGAGCCTCCCAAGCGTAAGAAGAAAGCTGCAAAGGAGCCCAAGGCACCTGTGCAGAAATCAAAGTGTGAAGAAAAGGAGACTTTGACTTGTGAGAAGTGCCCCAGAGTGTTTAACACACGGTGGTATCTGGAGAAGCACATGAACGTCACTCATAGGCGCATGCAGATCTGCGACAAGTGTGGGAAGAAATTTGTTCTAGAAAGTGAGCTCTCCCTTCACCAGCAAACAGACTGTGAAAAAAACATTCAGGTAGGTTTTCTCACTGGTTTGCCAGATTTCCCTACCTTCTGCTGTCCCCTGGACACTTTGTAAGGGGGGAAATCCTTTGAGGAGGACAAGTTCCCAAACTTTCCTACTTTGGTCAACATTTCTTCCTGCATAGTTAAGGAAATTGACTTGCATGGATGTGGGGAGGAGAGGGAATAATGCTTGGCTGTAAGAGTTCTCTATGCAATCTTGCAGAAGAAATGGAACGTTGGGTTCTAAGCCTACACATACAGTAGAACCTCTGGTCATGACCTTAATTTGTTCTGTTAACTTGGTTGCAACCCAATTTTGTTGTGACTCGAACCTAATTTTTGAAATTTGGCACTTACAAAAAAAATGGTGTGGAAGGGGAAATCTGCCACAAAAAAAAAGGGAACTTTTTGGTCGGAACCAGATTTGGTCATAGTCAGAAGCGTTCATGACCGGAGGTTCTACTGTATATTGTACATTAGTCAGTATTAAATGGAAGATAAAGACACATTAGTTAAAAAATTAACCATAATACATGATATATATAGGCTTGCATATGTAGACAAGATATGACAGAATGCAAAACTAATTTGTATTATATTGTGTAAATCTTATTTAGCTATAAATCATTTAGGAAATATATGACTACGACACGTTAACTAAACATCCTATTGTACTTTTCAGTAAATGTAAGAAATCTATTTAATTGGTGTGTCAAATATCCATTTGCTATTTAGCATGCTATGGATTGTTGTTAGATTTTGAAATCATTTAAAAATAAGTGACCTATGTTTGGGAACTGAGAGCTATATTAATTCCTCAGAATCCTTTTGGAACTGCCGAATGGGTAGTGACTAAGAAAAAAGCATTCAGCCAGGATAAACAAACTCAAACACTATTCACATTATCACAATTTAAGAAACACTATTTTAGCCTTCCTATTTTGTCCATCAGATCAATCAGACAACAGGAAAAAAGTGAGTTTGGGTTCCATGATTTCATAAAAGATAGTTGTGAATTATACACAGGTAATTCTGAATATTGGAAAACTACTAGATAAAAGAAACTGCGTGTTTACATATAATTTATTCAGGTTAGTTCTTGGAATGAAACTGAATACAGTATAATTAGATAAATACCTAGCAAACTAGATATTGTATACAGACACCATAAAGGGATTGATAGAGCAAAGTGATAGGGAGCAGTTTTCCTAAGAAAAGTTCTCTTTTAAAAGGCGCATGTTTGCTTATTTACCCATAGAATTGGAGGTTGAATTCAAGTTAGTAGTTAGCAAGATGATCCTATAGCTTATTCCTCCTATGATTCTTGGTCCTGGAAATGATGCAAAATGAGCAAATCCAATAATCTTCGGACAAATACAAATGAAGAATCCTTGTTGTATATGGTCAGCATTTATGTTTGTTTAATAAATGGATCAGCAAGATGTTTATTTTCAACTACAGACTCTTTGCCTGAGTACATCAATATTTAACCTGGTAGCAATTATACTTTTTATCCTAATCAATTCCGATTTTTTTTAAAAAAATAATATTTTAAATAAATATGACATAAAGCATAGAGTAACCTTCAAACTATCCTGTGGGTTTTGATACTCATTTTTCACTTACTAGCTTTGAAATGCTCACTTACTAGCTTTGAAATGAATTAAAGGATAAGTGATTCTCAACTATGTGATTGGTTTGCATTTGTTTCCTTCAGTGTGCTCATTGTAATTGCTGAGATCAAGAATTTTGGTTTAGTATTCTCTTATCCCAGATTCTGATGTGTGTCTCTTCTGTAAACTGGATGTGTTATTTCTGATACATGTGTGAACCCAGAGGAGTAAGACACAGATGTTCCTTCTGCTACTGCTCTGTCCACTCTTACTCAACAGTTCCACTTCGTTGTTATTCCTTGTGCCAGCTTCAGCAATCCTCTGGTCCAGAATTCTTATGCTGTTATGCCCTAGGAATTGGAATCCACTCACTTCTGTCTTCCAATTTGAATGGAAAATAAGAACGAGTTTCAAGTCAGTTAACTCTAATCCTCATTTTGTAGTAGGTTTATTATTTTTAATGTGCTTTGGACTAACTTAAATAATCTTCATGGATCTTATATTTTTCTCACTAAACATGTTTAAAATTACATTTTGCTAACTTCTATATGTTTCACACAATCTAAATAACTGATAATGTTCTGGTTTCTTGGCACAGAATTTAAATTTGGGGACAGAGAGAACATTACTTTCTTGTATAACTGGTCTGCTAGGGTTATGGTAAGATGTATTAATGACTACTTCCACTGAATAATGATACAAATTACATATATTTTTTATTTTGCTTTGTTTTACTATCTTATACAAGATAAAAATTAATTAAAAAGTGTCCTTTCCAACTAAAATCAGCCATTAATACAAAATCACATTACTTTGTTTAAATATGATTGCCATGATTTTGGATAGAGGGAAATGTATTATTTCATTCTCTCTAATTTCCTGTACTCCAAATAAGAAAAATAGTTGTTTCATTTTGAGTAATTTATTTTAATCCTGCAATTCACAGCAATATACTTCCCAGATTATGTTTGAATACAAATGAGCTATTTTTGATATCAAACATCATTTTGAAGCTGGCAGACTAGCTCACTGAATTTAGTTAATATCCTTCTCCCGCATCACTGCTCATTCCATCAATGTATTCTGTGTCTGTGTGAAGGGCTGGTAGAAGCCTGGATGTTGCTGCTGATCTGCTCTAGAGGAAGCAGCAGGTGGCGATGTAAGTACATGGATACAGTATTCACTTAAACCTTTTTATCTGTGGTTTCAGTGAAAGAATGAACTGAGCAGCATTTTAATACTTGTCACAAACAATGTATATACAGTTGCAGCCATTTCCTTGTGTATGTTCATTTCATTTGGTTACAGCTTCCTGGTACCATCTGAAGTGAACTTTGTTTAAATTATTCTTCTTTGTCCTGTCCACCCATTCAGTGTGTTTCCTGTAATAAGTCATTCAAGAAGCTTTGGTCCCTCCATGAGCATATCAAGATTGTCCATGGATATGCAGAAAAAAAATTCTCCTGTGAAATATGTGAAAAGAAGTTCTATACCATGGCTCACGTGCGAAAGCACATGGTTGGTGAGTTTTTGCTGTCTGTTTTTGCATAGCATAGTGCTTCTTTCAGATTTATGATTCTGATGTACAGTCAAATGCCCATGTAGCATTTAGGTAATTCCTTGTTTACAATAGGTTAGTCCTTTTTAAAAAATACCTCTCTGTAACTATGCCCTTATTCATATCCATTAATCATTACTGGAAAGGATAGAGAAAGCCATAGAAAGCCTTTCAGGTAAAATGGGAGAAACCCAGTCTTTGGCCTCTCAGTCTGCCCAATGTAATACTATCTGGGGCTGTAATGTGGAGAATCTGTTTTAGATGCAATTGGAGAGAGAAATGACACTTTAGTCTATTTGCAATACAGAAATTTGGTGTTTTAGTTAATCCCCATTTATTACCAATTTTATAATAAAACTGTACTTTGATGTGCATTTTCCTGAATGCAAGCACTGAAGTTAGGGAGTTCATACGTTTCCTTTTGCCTTTGAAACTAAAATCTATATTTGGAAGAATTGAAGCATATAACATTGGTAAAATGTGGGGTATCTTCACTGTAAAATACTTATCCATAGACTTAAATGATACAGGAAGAACATTTCCATGACAAATTGAATTTCGTTTTAGAGCGAACTGAACTATTAAGAAATTATTCTTACTTGGCTGAAATAATTTTGACCTGGTAAGAACTTAGCTTTGAACTTTGAAGTAGGATGTTGAGAAAGAGAATGAATGAAATAAGGCACTTTAGTCTTGTGATTACACAAAGTTTAATTATGTAGGTCTCTGTATACATGCCTACCCAAATTTATAGTCAAATTAGTGTGCTTTATTTTTATCTATATTAAGCTGATTTCTATATTATAAGGCACAATGAATAGTATTTTTATTTCCTGAATGTTAATTGCTTATTATTTTGTTTATATTATAATTTAACTATAGGCTACCACAAGAACCATTCTAATTGAATAACATCCAATAAATATTTTAAATAAAATAAAAACTCACCTAGATCCAATCTTATCTATGTTTAGAGTATACCTCTTGAAACCATTGAGACTTAAGCTAGTTATGACTGACTGACTTAATTGACTGATGTTTCAGCACATACTAAGGACATGCCATTTACATGTGAAACCTGTGGAAAATCTTTCAAACGCAGTATGTCGTTAAAGGTTCATTCACTACAGCATTCAGGAGAGAAGCCTTTCCGATGTGAGGTATGAATTCTGCTCAATGTCTAATTGTAAAAAACAAGCATATAATTATAAAGTAATATTAAAATTGAATAGACATGAACAATAAAACCTGTGCTACAGATCAAAGCTATCTCTTACCTAACATTCTATTTCTACAGCGACCAGCATACAAATAAGAATAGTGACATGCTCACACTCCACTGCAATTTTTTGTCTCATGGTGCCTTCTTAAATCTGTGGCAGAAATGGATTATATCTCAATGATTATCAAAATTATAATATTTATCAGTGCTTGATAAGAAACCATGGATATTGTGCTACATTGCAGCAAGATGAAGATATAGTGGGTAGGGGAAGATATGGCAGAAAATAGTTTAGTTCATTGTCAGATGTATGAGGTAAACCAGGTTAGGAAACTGACTCCACTGAAAAATAGAACTATATTTATTGAAATGGGTTATAATAACAGAATCTTGCAAGTTTGAGAGGACCTTAGTTCTCTCTGAGCTTGCTTGTTTTCTTGCAGATATTTCATTACCCAAACTAGGTAACATCATCAGTGCTAGTAAGAAGTGCAATTTGCTATCAGTTTATATTCTAGTGGCTTGCCCTGTCAATATTGTGGGGGTGATCTCAACCAAATAATTTCTAAGGCCATCCCCACCATCGCTGATAGGGAAAGCCATTAGAATATAAACTGACAGTAAACTGCACTCCTTACTAGTACTGATGATGTTACTTCTACATGGCTTCTGAATGATTTCTCCAACGTTATCTCCATGCTCCTTATACCCACTTCTAGGGATGACAGCTTTGGTATTTGGTACCAATCTTGATAGACTCTTGTGCTATATCGCAAGATCTGATAATGAAGGCTCAAATGCCCTGATTTCTAACTGTTGCTACTTAATGGATAACACTGGTTTATAATAAAGCTCTCCTCCTCCACAGCTTAATTGTGGATGAAAGGGCTGGATTTTTTTAAATTACCAAATCCTAGCTGGATATCAAGGGTAGCCCAGGATTAAGGTGGTAGTGTAGCCATTGTCATCTGAAAAATCTGATAACTTTCAGGTGCACTGTTCTGCAGTACCTAGTTGGGAATTCCTGTTCGTGAAGTTGGGCAGTAGGAATCAGAGGGAATTGTGCCTGTGTTCCTGTTAGAATTCACAGCTGGTTTGGCAGTAGGGTTCCATGGGCTTATGGTATGGCAGACTTTAATCTGATTTCAGGTGCAGGCTTGCGGGCTACTCAGGTGGCTACCAAATTACCACTATGCCAAAACACGGACTAAAAAGTGTCACATATCGAACCTTGTCTTTATCTTGGGACACTTGCAATATAAACTGGACTTGGAGAGTACTACCATGAATCCCTTGCCATGGACAGATCACTCCCACTTGGTCACAGAACATTAATGGAAAAAAGCAAAGAGTATATGTAATCCTTGATTTATGACCAAAATTGTTTTTGTATAAGGAAGCAACAGGTGAGGCTAAGTAAATTTCATTTAGTACCCAAATAATGATCACAGGCTCCCTCAGGCTCTCTCCTTTGTTCTTTTCTCTCTATACCAATGACTGCATCTCAAGGGAACCCTTTGTTCTGAAATTTGCAGATGATTCAACAGTCATTGGCCTCCTTTGAGACAGTGATGAAATCTGCATATAGTTGAATAACTGGCTCTGTGGTGAACCATCATAATCTAGAGCTGAATACACTTAAAATTGTAGAAATGAGAGTGGGTTTTAGGAGGAGCCCTTTTGTTTTACCACCTCATCATATTGAATAGCACAGTATCAGCAGCAGAGTACTTCAGATTTGGGGGTTCTATAATTTCCCAGGGCTTGAAATGGACACTTAACATTAGAACCATCATTATAAAGACACAGTAAAGAATGTTCTTCCTGCATCAATTTAGGAAGTTCAGACTGTTCAGGAGCTGTTGATACCATTTTACAGAAGAATTATTGAGTCTCTTTGTATGTACTTTTATAACTATCTGGTTTGATATAGACTCCAATGGCTATTTAAGACTATAGAAAGAATAACTGCAACCAGCCTTCCTTCCATAGAAGACCTGCATATTGCATGGGTCAGAAGAAGGGCCCTAGAAGATATCTGCAGACTGCTCACATACATCCTGGATATAAACTGTTTCAATTCCTCCCCTTGGGACAGGCTACAGGGCATTGCATGCCAAAAGACCTAGACATAGGGACAATTTTTGTGCCATCACTGTGCTGAACAGGTGCACACAGTGCTGTCTAATGTCTGTGTATTTATCCATGTAATATAGATGTAGCATTATTATTTATCCTTATTAACCTTCTAAATCTCTCTTATTAGGGTGGTGGTGATGAGGATGTTGATGATGATGATTCTGTTGCTTTGCATGTACGTTGAGAGGGCTTCTGCACCAGAATCAAATACCTTGTTTATCTAATCACATTAAGTATTCAATTTCTGTTGAGCTCAAAATTTCCATTGTTAAGCAAGATAGTTGAGTTGATAGTTGTTAAGTGAGTTTTGCCCCATTTTACAACCTTTTTACCACATTTGTTAAGTGAATCCTTACAGTTGTTAAGTAAGTAAAATGGTTATTAAATGAGTCTGGCTTACCCATTGGCTTTGCTTGTTAGAAGATCACAGATCATGTGACCCAAAGACACTGTAACTGCCATAAATACATGACAGTTGCCAAGGGTCTAAATTTTGATCAAGCAACCATGGGAATACTGCAACAGTCGTTAAGTGTGAAGAACAGTCATAAGTCACTTTTTCAGTGCGGTTGTAACTTCAGATGGTCACTAAATGAATAGTTGTAAGTCGAGGAGTACCCTTAAATCTGATCAAAAATGGGTAAGAACCTTTTTTTAACATTATCTTGTAATGATAAGGGTGGTAGAATGTGATATTTTCTGCCTTTATTTCATGCCAGAGCAGACCCTCCTGGGTCAGGGAAATATTTGGTATCAATTTCTGGACCAGGAAATGCCTTTGTCGCTTCTTGATTGAATTAACTGTAATGCAGTCTACATATGAGGTGGTCCTTGAAAAATATTTAGAAGCAGCAGTTAATTTAGAATGCAGAGGCACAGTCAGTTTTGGGTGTTCATGATACACCTGTTTTGTGAGCCGCCCTGCCTGCACTGGCTCCCAGTGATTTATGGTCAGGATAGTTGTGGAATGTTTATTTCTGATTATTTTTGCTTGCCTGTAGAGATGAGTTTGAAAAAGATATTCAATAACCATTAGATAAACACTACCTTAGTCGTGAAAAAGAGGAGGAACTATGAAAAAAATCAAGATTGTGATACCTTCATTCTCTTGTTGTTAGCCAAGGGGGAGAGAGAATCTCTGTTAGGCTTTCAAGATTCTGTTATTATACTTTGCAACAATAAAATTAACAGTTCTTTTGGAGTCTTATTTCCTGACCTGGCCTATATAGAAGGACTGGCATCGATCTTGAAAGCCTCTCCTCTTTCTAATTATGAAGTCATTAATCTTTCTTTTGATTGTGGAAATTGCATCATAGAACAGCTTGCTCAAACATGATTGTCATGCCCTTGTGGGAGTCTGATTCTGAGGGGGAGATTGAGGAGCTGACAGGAAGTGGGAGTGTGGCTTCGGTGGCTGTGGAAGAAATGGGGGAAGGGCACAGTCCGGCTGGGCATTCAGAGAAGGACCTTGGGCCAACCCCTCTTCATCCTAGGGCATGCAGGGAGGAATGGAAAAGGGAGCAATATGGCTTACGGGAGAGAAAAAGCTTTGATCTCTTTCATTAGTTGCAGCTGGGAGAACAGGATATAAGAAGAGCATTTGCACACAGCAGCTTGCTGGAAGCAAACCGGGTTGAGACTTATCTGTGTTTTTGGCGTCCTCCCAACTGTGTGTGCTTCGTTATCTTTTGGAAGTCTGCAATTTATTATCCTGGCCAGTCGTGTTAATTACTTCAGCTGTGGTTTGTGTTGTTTTTTTTATTTCTAATTTATCTGTACTTTTTGGTTTGGATGCATTTTTTCTTCCCTTTGGAGACTGTTTTTGGAAGAGTTTGATCTCCAGGCGAGGATAACTGGACATTGGGGGCCAAGTTGGAGGTATTAAAGGGACTTTTCTCACTTTTGTGACTTTGTTGCTTTTGTGCCACGCCCCAGGTCATCACAATGATAGAACAATAACAGCAAGTGGAAATACAAATAACAAACCTGCACAGTATTGTAGTACAATTAATGCAGCAGTTCAGACAAGATTTGTCTCATCAAGGCAGTTCAACAATCTGCATCCCAGCTAGTATTTCTTCGCTCTCAAAAAAATTTCTGGAGTGGTTTGGAGGAGACGAAGATCAGTTTTTTGCTTTTACACTCAGTTTTGAGTTGATTATGAAATGTCAACCAACAGCATTTCTTACAAATTGTTCCAATGTTTGTTCTGAATCTTTTAAAAGATGGAACAGCCAAATAAGATGTGTCCCTCATTGAAGGCAATGTTCATTACTGCATAGTTACCAAAACTTCATACAAAGTTGAAGTAGCATTTGATTATTCAAGTAAGGTAGCAATAACAAATTGAGAGATCTGCACTGTAAAATAAAGTAGTGAGAAAGTTTATAAATACATATAGATTTTCAGTTAATTGCCAGAGATGTATGTAAAATAATCTTTCTCTGATGAGCTAATTTTCAGCTTCCTGTGATGAACTGAGAAAGGAGGTTAGTGTTACGAGGCATATCAAAGAATTTGAAAGAACTGTTACAATACTGAATGTTAATAGAAAGTGGTTGGAAGACTTGAGGCATGGAGGAAATAGCAAAAAGTAGAGATTTTTCACCTCTGTTCCACCCCAATGACCTCAGATTCCAGTGTCAAGAGAATCCCTATAGAAGTAATAGAGATGCATGTCCTCAGTAGAGAAGGAAAGGATGCGGTTTATGCTTCTACTGTGTAGCCCTAGAATACAAAGCCTAGACTTGAATCACAAAAATAGGTACCTGTCAATGTCTCACCTGTGGAATTGTAGTCCACATATAGCAAGTGCCCCATCTGTTGGAAAGCCTTATTTTTGGGAAAAATAAGGAATCCACCAGTAGAGCCTTTTAGCTATTAAGAAGAGCTCAGGCAGCCAACAGAAAGACTTACCTTTTTATGTAAGGGAAGAAAAAATTCTTGAGGGATATTCATTGCTATAGATTCCGTGTATCCAAAACCACCTGGATGTTACCACTACCTCTTACTTCAAACTTACTAGACAGCCTTCAAATGACAATTTTTCGCAAAATTGGATTTGAGAGATACATAAAATTTAATCAGAATAAAAGATTGGCATGAAAATTCACTGAGATACCAGGTATGGCAAATTTGAATAGATAGGAATGCTATTTAGATTAGTTAATTGCAGTATGACCATCTCCACGTTCATGAATGAAATATCGTCTAATGTCTTGGATAAGTATGCACTAGTATGTTTGTATAACATACTGATATTTTCATGAGAGCAACATTAAAAAGGTTTAAGAATGACTTTGCAAATGTAATTTTTTTTAAGTTGCAAAAATGTGTATTTGATTTTCCCCAGCGGATTACTTGAGTTTCCAGTTCTCTATAGAAAAAAGAGATCCAGTACAGTTCGTATCATGGCAGGCACTTAGAAATATGAGAGAGTTCCGAATGTTTTCTGGGCTTTGAATTTTTTCATAGAAGATTTATACTTAACTTTGTAGAGTGCAAAAGACCTTTGCCACAATTCCTAAAGAAAGGACCCAAATTAAATTGGTCTACCCTAGAGCAAGCAACAGGTTAGGGTTCAAATGGAGGGAAAAACAGCCTAAAACAAAGGAAAACGAAAGGTACATTACTGTATAACTATTGACCTTCAATAGTTAGTGGAACACCTGATTCATAGGGCAGAAAGCTCTCCTCTCCCAGAATCCTTTATGTATTGGAACTTGACTACATCTCTTGTTGTATGATTGCAGTTTAGTAAGTTCTGTTGCTAAGAGCCAGTTTGGTATAGTGGTTAAAATATTAGATTAAAAATCAGGAGACTGAGTCCGAGTCCCAGCTTAGTCATAAAGTTAGCTGGGTGACAAAGCCCACCCACTTTCAACCCTAGCAAGAAGGAAATGGCAAATACTTCCAGAATCTTGCAAAGAACCCTATAGGACCTAATTTTTTAAAAAACTGACTCGAAGACAAAAAAATCTGCTGCTATAAACTTGTCTTCCAGGAGATGCCACAATTCACAGCTTTTCCTTAATATGGTGTGGGTGAGGAAGAAAACTCTCACAATGTTTCTTTTCTTTTTTGGCAATTAAAAGAAAGGGTGAATGGGAGCAGACATAGAATAATATACATACTACTTGCCCTTGTCCTTCAAAGGCATGTGGCCTTTCCTACCCATTCTTGTGAAAAGCCAAACTCGCTAGGGATAAAAAGAAACACACTTCATCAGACAAGAAAAAATTATAGAAGTCATGAAAAATATAAAAGAAAATGCAGTATGCCAGACAAGCTGTAAGATTGTGATGCACTGTCTCAATAATTGTATTCTTCATTTTTTGCATACTTATTTTCTCATCTGAATTGCCATTTATAAGGTAGGCAAAGAACTCCCCTTCTGTCTTTTGATTATTTATGTCTAATATTCCTTCCATTACTTCCATATCCTTCAGACAGTTTTGTCTGTCTGTCTTTCCTTCCTTCCTTCCTTAAGCCAACCTCACTGCCTGTCTCTAGGTAGCTTACAGATAAAATCTGTCATAATTACAACTTTTAAAAGCACAATTTTCATTTGCTTATCTTTTTGAGGAGATTTCCTATTAATCAGTAAGATACTGCCAAGGAGTTTGTTTTCTCTCCAATTCAACTAAAAACAAAACTTTTTCTATAAGAGGTATAAGGTGGGATAATTTGACGGTATATGATATTTATCAGTGTGATCATCAGGCATGGTCAACTGGCTGTGAATATCAATATTTAGAACCTGCATAGCTACAACGCTTTTAAATAATAACAAATATTTAAACTTCAGTAAAAGAGCACAGGCAATCTTTTCTAATGTCCAAACTAGTTGGTAGTGCTTTTTTATTGACTACCTACCCCACTCCCTTCTCAACACAACAGCTTAAAAATACTAGACTTATTTCAAACCTTAGAACATTCAAAATGGCTACTACACGCTTGAATTAGTTGGAATTAGTTGAAACTCTACCATTGTTGAAGGCATTGAGGAATCTGGTAAAGAAGTATCTCTGAAAAGGTCATAGTTGTCTAGTATTTACCTAAAATATTTGTCTCACTTTGAAACTATTCTCTTACCAGAACCAACTCATCCTAAATAGGATTCCATTGCATTTTTAAAAAATTCTAATTGTTAGATGTATTGATAAGATGCAATGTTAGTGTTGAAATTTTTGATGGTAAAATAAAATATCAAATACATTTATATAAACTTAGCTCTGTTCTGTTTGATATACTGCTACTGTATTATAACTTTCTTGCCTGCAAGTAGGAGACTAGTTACTCATTATGTTTTGCAGAATTGTGATGAAAGGTTCCAGTACAAGTACCAACTTCGTTCTCACATGAGCATCCATATTGGACACAAACAGTTTATGTGCCAGTGGTGTGGTAAAGATTTTAATATGAAACAGTACTTTGATGAGCACATGAAAACACACACTGGTAAGGTTATATTTTGATTGTTATCTTTATACAAGACCTACTAATGTAATAATTCATAGGGCAGTTAAAAGATATAGTTTTATCAGAACATAAGATTTTCTTTCCATTGAAATCTAAATAACATGCTGTTTTCAGTGCAATTAAACAAGGAGATTCTTGAATCATCTGAATTTCAACGGTAGAAAGCAAAAGAAGGAGAATTAATTTAAGGAAATAAAATTGCACAGCCTCTTTGAAAGTAGAAAGTTCTTGACACAATGCATGAGAACCCCTTAGGCCAGAAGGGCAATATATGTGTATATTAAGACAGAACAGAAAATATAAAAGGTATTGTATTAGATACAGAAAGCAGTAGAAGGGCATTGGGAAGATTTAAGAAGAAGTGTGTAAGATATATGAGTGTGATGTAAAGGAACCAAATGCAAATTAAGTAAAAAAGGAATGGGAGATTAAGAGAATAAAACATTACAGCTAGAAATGAAAGAGCGTAATTTCCTGCAGATATGGTGAAATCTGCGATGAAACCTAAATAAACTACAATGAGGCAAGATGTCTGATAAATTATGAGGAAGAATACATTGAATATAGAGAACAAAAATCTGATTTATAAGAGGTTGTGAGCAGAATAGTTGTGACCAAAGGTTTATAGTCTTAAGAAATCAAAGCAAGATCTAAAAAGATAATATGTTGAATAGTTGGATAAATAGTGATAGAATAAATAATAATGGGAGGGTTGTTGATGCTGACATTTCAAATGAGATTGGAAATTGGAAAATGATTTAAAAGTATATTTTAAAAAAGGATGGATTGGAAGAAGCCTCTGGTTTCATGTTAAAGGTGAGGAAGGTGAATGGTATAATCTGTAGGACCAGAAGTTGGAAAGTACTTAGAATTCTTGGGATATCAAGATAATGCATTGGAGTTGTAACTTGACAAATCTGAGTTGAATTATGAACCCCAACCAGAATAACCAACTATGAATGATTTTGGAAATTTTAAATTAGCAATATAGATGAGTCTTTGATAATTTCTTTGATTTAGGATTTGCTTTCAAAAATTTTTAATGAAAATTGAATTTCATTAAAGATGCCATTTTATAACTTTTAACAGGAGAGAAGCCTTTTATTTGTGAAATCTGTGGCAAAAGTTTCACCAGTCGCCCAAACATGAAGAGACATCGCAGAACTCACACAGGGGAGAAGCCATATCCGTGTGATGTGTGTGGCCAGCGATTCCGGTTCTCCAATATGCTTAAGGCACACAAGGAAAAGTGCTTCCGTGTTACCAGTCCTGTTAATGTGCCACCCTCTGCCCAGATCTCACTTGCCACAACTTCATCTGCCACCACTGTACCTTCTGTTGCGAATACACCGAACCCACTTGCCCCTACTTCAATCAATATGAATCCAGGGAGCACACTTCCTCCTCGCCCAATTGGCCACCCATATTCTCATCTGCATCTTCATTCACATCATTCACATCATCTTCCAGTCCCCATCCCTCCAGTCCCTCATTTGCCTCCACCTCCTGCTCTATTTAAGAGTGAGCCTTTAAATCATAGGGGCCAAGGTGAGGACAGTTTTCTGCGACATCTAGCAGAAAAAAACAGTTCAGTGCAGCACCACTAACTGCTTGTCTTCTGCCTGCCATTCTCCTGATTTTCAAAGTTTGGAATTGTGCTCTTCCCTAAGAAAAGGTACCATTTTGGCCCCAAGTAAATTTGCATTACTCTTGGTGATCATCCAACTTAGGGGAGCCAATAGGACAGATTTGGCTTGCACGTTTTACTGTTGACTTTTATAAATTTCAAAAGGACTGAGAAATGTGGGTTTTTTTATAATTTCATATCAGCTAATGAGGTATGCTTGCTTTTGTATTCTGGATTTTCTCCTCAAATTGGGGATAAGTCTGGTTTCCTTTGTACTAATCAGAAAGACTGTGAGACTAAATCCCAGAGCATTAATTTTCACTGTGTATTGTTAATTTCTTTTCTGCTCTGTATATGTGTGTGAGAGAGTGTTTGTGTGGGTGTGGGTGTGCTGGTTATGGAGTAAACCAGCCACATGATTGCAGAATATGAAGCATAGGAAAAACAACAACAATAGTAAACAGAATTTAATCTCATTTGAATAGTTCTCCTAACACACTCTTTATTTTATTATAAAAATTATTTTAGAGTTTTTGTATAGACCTATTTAGTAGCCTGTTTCTAAAATGAAATGTATTTCGAATAAGCGATGTAATTTTTTTCAGTGTAGCTGGACCTATGTTGTTACAATAGATAATTTTTATAATCATTCAAATCTGATTCTTTTACAAAAAAAATGCAAATAGCTTCTATAGTAAAAATTATTCTTACATCTGTACTGCTCTAAAAAGGTGCTTTGAAGTATAAAGGAAGAAGCCCAAGAAGTCTCTTGTAAAGCTGCCTCAGAAGTGGAGATAATTTCAGAACTTTATATAACTTATTTGTAAGGGGAGGGGAATTTTTACTGTGAGACATATCTTCTTTCCATGTCACTTGAGGGTGATCAGATAAGGACATTGAACTACTGTATGCCCCAAAATTTCACTTCTGTTATACTGAAGCATGAAACATTTCAGAAAGGATTTCTGTTAGAGTGAAAATTGCACATGAGGGACAGTCTCAACCAAATATGGTTTCAAATGTAGTATGCTACCTTATCATGGGCATACCTTAGAACCTAGTTCGTTATAGAGACATGTATAAGGTATGAGTTATATTGGGACCGATTTGATGCTGCTTGTTTTGTTCTTAAGTTTGTTAGGAGATAAGCAAGGGAACTGCAAAGTAGATGCAATTTAATTGGATCTGTAAAAATTAAGCCTGAATTAGGCAAACTGGTGTGAAAGCCATTGTCATGTTGGCTGAAAAAATGAATATCATGGAGTATGTGCATATGCTAAAGTTGTGTGAAAGACAGATAGGACTGAGGATAATGTCTTTCAGGTTTGCCCATGTTCCACAGACAAATGGGAAAGAAATGTTGAATGTTAAGCAAGTTGGTAATTGTGTTTTTCTCAGTCTCCAATGGTTCTAAGTTGTGATGAATAGAATCATGGTAATTAACTTTGGATAAAATATAGCACCATTTAAGGATCCACTTAGTATCTTGAGGAGAAGGCATAGAGATTCCTTTATAGCTGGACTCCAAATTTTTCTAATTTTCATGCTCAAAGACCATCATGCTGATTCCTAGGATATTGTTCTGCTTTTAAAATTAGGCTTTAAGTCTAATTTAGAAAGGGATATTACCTTGGATGAAATGGAAAGCCCTTGTTATTGCATTCCCTTAGGCTGCTGATTGTGTTTCCGCCTTTTATAAACTTTGCATTAAAAATAAAATAGCTGACCTTTCAGTATCTATTCATATTTGACTGAAAACTTCTTAACTCCTTTTTTCGGGGGTGGGGGGGGAGTATTTTTAAAATGTTGTCATAAGGCAGTAAAGTTAACTATAAAAATTAATAATATTTAACAGTTCACTATCATCTACTATCTTAATTGGTTTTATACATTCCATGTCATTTTGTAAAATTGCAGTTCTATATAGAATGCCACAGGCCAACAATGTGGTTTGTAAAATCCGCTGTTCCAAATTTAAAGGAAAAAGTCACAACCGATAAATCAATTGTAACCCAATTTGCAAAAAGCATTTTTTTCAATAAATTTACAGTATTTGGCTGCTATTTATGAATTCTACTACTTCAAAAGGGTGTATTTCTGTGTTTTCTGTTCTAAAAGTTAACATTATTCATTTCAGAGCTGTGTTCTACGTAGAATGAGTACAGGTAGATAGAAAAATGAGTCAATAGCCATTGAAGTTTCTTTATTCTTGTGTGGACAAATTTGAATCTATCCTATTGCAATTCTTAAGGCTTTTTTTTTTTTTGAATTAATTTGGTTCAGTGCAATGTCATCCCTGTAATCCCAATCATTATTGGATATATGAACTGATAGAGGTCTACACTTTGGTCTTTATACAATGCTGTACTATATTTCTGGCCCCTTTTCATTTTTATTTTATTTTCAAAACAAAAATATTATAAATATGTAGCTGTTCAGAATCCATTTAAAATGTGTGGGACATTTCCAGAGAATGTGTCATTCTCTGGAAATCTTTAAAGCAGCTTCCTATTTTCCTAAGAACACACAACTTTGGGGAACTAAGTTGAAAACATTGCACAGCGCAAGGGCAAAAATTATTCAATCAATATATAAAATACCTTTCATTAGATTTTGGATTTTGAAGTAGAATTATAATTTTGGAAGCCTATTTATACTGGCACGCTTTTACTCATAAGATATGAAAGTTTTCATGCTAAATCTTTAAAACAGTTTGTTTGTTCATTTGATTGTATAATAGCAATAGCATTTAGGCTTATATACTGTTTCATAGTGCTTTACAGTCCACTCTAAGCAGTTTATAGAGTCAGCATTATTGCCCCCAACAATCTGGGTCTTCATTTTACTGACCTTGGGAGGATGGAAGGCTGAGTCAACCTTGAGCCAGTCATGATTGAACTCTTTGCAGTGGGAATGCAGAGTTAGCCTGCAAAAATGCATTCTAACTATGGTACCATCACGGCTCTTTAACTCTGTAATATTTTTTCTTCTGCTGCAAGTTTAACTATTTCCTGTTAGTGTTGCAAAGTACTCGTCTCTGCATTTTTTTAAAATTTTGGACAATGATTTGTTTTGCTACTACCATAGTCTTGAAGCCATATGATCTGATCTTGGTGTTTTTACCATTAGGAACATCCCATAAATTCACCATTTTCTGAATATAATCATAATAAATGGAATGGTTTTTAGAAAAATTATGTCTCTAATGTTTGCTCAGAGGGCATGGTGACAGAGCATATAATCAATTTTTGTACCCGGCCTGCTCCAGGAGAGTTGCATTGCCAACACCTATTCTCAGCATTAGAGAGTTTTGATTGATCTTGTCAAACATGTCACAAAATTGCAGTGAGTATTGAAGCTAACTGTGACGTGTAGTTCTTCAGAGACACATACAATTTCAACATATTACAGTTACAAATTTTATTTGCTGCTTATCAGAAACCATAATAAAAAGACCTATTCATTCTATTAGTTTGTTTTTATAGTTGCATTTTAATAATTAATCCCAAAGGAAGATCTAAAGATTAAACAAGAACTGTGATTTGTTTAAAGGCTAATGAATAGTTTTTAAACTGCTGTAATAGTATTGATTTTGATACTAGGATACAGCATATGTGACTTCCTCCCCAGCATGAACGTTTTCTTTAGAAAAATAATACTTAAACCAGCCCCTTGAAAGACTAAAGAAGGCAATTGCACAAAAGCTGTAAGAACTATTGTTCAGTTCAATTCATAACAGCAAAGAACATCAACTATTTTCTCCCATTATATGTAGCCCTCAATTTACAATCACTCATTTAATGACCATTCAAATTTACAGTGGCGCTGAAAAATGTGATTTACAAACCAGTCCTTACACTTACAACTGTTGTAGCTATTCCAGCATCCCTCTGGTCATGATCAAAATTTGGACACTTGGCAACCCATATATATTTATGATGGTTGCAGCCTCCCAGGGTCAGGTGATCACTATTTGCAGCCTTCCTACCGACCTGAAAGCAAAGTCAATGGGGGAAGCTAGATTTAATCACATGATTCATTTAATCACAGTAATGTGCTTGAAGATCACAGATAAAATTGGATGTGACACTTAAAAACCACCTCACTTAGTGACAGAAATTCCAGTCCCAATTCCAGTCCCAAGGATTAACTGATATTAAAATATGCTTGATTTGATAATAAATCTTTGGCCTGGCAACACAAATATTGCCTTGTTTTATATCATGAATGATTTAAAGATTTAATGAAGTGTTTGGATTTGATTTTAATTTTGCAATGAGTGGAACAGTAAGGAGTATTCCTTTGATGATTTGTCTTAGTGAAATGTTTAACATTCATTGGGGGCTCCTTTCTTCAAAAGAACAATGGAAACAACAACAACAAAAGAAATTAAACTATTGAAATTGTTCTCTCTCATACTCTTCTATAAAGTTGATTTGAAACCTATTTTTCTACTTACCAATCAACTTAGATTCTTGAATGAGAATGAATGAATGCTTTTAACAGCTTGATTTTCAGGGTGGCAACAGATGGCATTTTAATAAGGTTGAAGAACAGATTGAAGAGGTGAGATAACAATGCCATGTTACAATTTTGTCAGTGTATTGTAGCATAAATAGATCATGTGCATGCTTAAAAGGAGAATTGTATAGTGTTCTGAGGTAGGTGGGGTTTTTTGCATAAATAATGTTGGGTAAGAAATTTAGCATAAATGTCAGCCTACATGTTGGCTGCTACTGCAAACAAATTTGCAAAAATTAGAAACTGTTTGCTATGCTGTTTTCTGACATGACATCTGTTTGCTTTGGTAGGTCTGCTATATATTGCTGAATACATTCCCTGTTCTTCCTTTCTAGTTATTCATACATCCCTAAAAAAATAAAGTGTAAATATACTTTTACAAACTTAGAAAATAGAAGTGTTTTTTTTTCATTTATCATAGTGTTATGTTTTTCCATATGAAAAAGACGTCTTTGAACTTAGTTATTTGCATTCTGACAAAACATTTCTGCAGAGACTTTTTATAATTAAATATGTATTCTTCTGTAACAAACCTGACTCTTAAATGAAATGGAATAAGTTAAATTCATAGCCATAGTCCCTTGGACATATGTAATATTTCTTTTTGCTCAAGGTTAATATAATTGCTTTCTGCTAATAAGAGTGTTCTCTATTCCGATAGGCTGCATAAGATGCTAAACGACTCTTAACCAGTGCTAACCTTGCATGCAAATGAAAATCTGATGTCCATTTAGCCACCTAAAAACAAAACTGATTCCAAGGCAACAGCAAAAACTAGGTAGCAAGTGAACATGAATTGCTTGAGTATGTTTATCCTTTTTGACTCATTTGACTCTTGATGACTGCATGAACATATCCATATAGTTTTGTTTGACAATGAATACCAAAATGGCTTGCTGTTGTCTTATCATTGTGTTAATTGCCACTTTGTAGGGATTTGCAATATTGCTACAATGTTATTAGGAGGACAAATTATTTCAGAAAGTAGAGGTGGCCACTGAGAAGGCACATCATTGAAGTCTCACAAAGTGGCAGTGTCTCAATGAGACCTGGAATGTGTCTTCCCTGTTGGAATATGTGGGTGGGGCAGATACCTTAGGGAATAGGCAGTCCCATTAATAATCTGCAATTGGATGTTGAGCAGCACCTTAAATTGCATCTGAAAGCCTATGGGGAGTAGGTGCAGCTTGTGAAGTGGGTGTATCATGTGGCGATAACAGGAAATTACCCATAAATACTACACAACCATATACTGGATTATCTTCAAGAATAATTTCATTGGGGATGGAGGGTTAGACTGGATAGATAATTTTAATTTTTTTTTGTAGGATGGACAAGAGTATATGGAACATTACTGAGGTGCCTTTTCCCTGAAAAGGAAGCTGTCCTGTTGTTGACAAATGTGTTATATGTACATATGCTGTATTGTTTTATAAGAAGTTTGTGTTCTGCTTGGCACTGTTAAAATCTGGAGCAGTGAGGTCATCTTAATCCTTACTGAGAAAAAATACTTAGGAAACTTACATTCAAATTTAATTGCATTTAAAGCCGTAAGAAAAAAGATGCATTTATTAAATAGTTTTTGAAATGAAAAGAAACAGGACCTTCTTGTATGTTAAAACTAAAATGTAATTTAAATATGGTTTTCTAGGACTGTATACTGTACCTCTCTCTTCTGTCCACCCTTTCAGATTCCCAGTTTCTCTTCCCACCGTCGTGATTTTTTTCCCATCAGTGTTCTTGCTGATATAAAAAGGATGTGAAAATTAAATATTAAAGATTATTTCTGTTGAATTACATAATCACAACTATTTTATAATATTTGCAACTCTTAGTATAATTGATACGAATATTCTTGCAACTTAGCTGAGACATTTTCTTTGGCCTGTAGAATTCTGTTATATAACTGAGAATGATGTCAAAAGAAATTCCTGATTTGTGCAATTTGTTCTTTTATTCTTTATATGCTTAATGATAGATATATAGGCAAATACGCACTGGGGGACCAAGCAATTTCTGCTACTGTGATATTAAACAAACTCAAACTTTACACAGATATTCCAACACCATTTCTTGATTATTTTTTAGCTTCGTCTAACAAAACAGTTGCAAATTGATGTATCATTTTTTCCGCTTTATGCTGGGAGCAGCTTACTTTCTATACAAAAGGTTCTTTTTGCCATTTTTTTTTTTGTAAAATGTGTAACTGAAAGCTTCCTGGGACAAATAAGGTAATCTACTGTCTGAATATTCTGCTGCGAGGAAATGCAAGAATAGGGAATGACAACTAGGCAGAAGAGATAAGATCTCTGCTTTGTTTTACTACAGTACCAGCTTTCTTTTATCATTTTTATATAAGTTTAAATTCTAAATTCCATGACAATGTTTTTCTATTCAGAAAAGCACATGCTCATAAAACACTAGGTTCAAAAAACCTAGTTATTTCTTCTCCCAAAAATTAAATTAGAATTTCTTTGCATACTTTATCTTTTTTCAGAAGTGTATATGCGTATATGCCTCTCTGGGTTGACAGTATATTTTTTTATATTTTAAAGCTTAGTTTGGATAAAAATAACATCATAGGGATTGTCATAGGCACTTGCTGTGCTTTGGTACATTGAAATCTAAATTATCAGAAGGTTTGCTTTTATTTTTTCATTGACCACAACTGGATGTCTTAGCAGTTAAGCTACATTTGACTTTGCCTTGAACAGATAAAAATGTAACCAGAGTTATTTGTAATTCACACCAGAAAACCATTTAGCTTCGCATTCTGTTTCCCCAGTGGCCATCCACTTGGGGAAATCCATATGCAAATCACTAAAGATTAGCTCTGTGGTTCTTCTGTTGTATTCAAAGGCCTATTGGTTCCACAAATAAAGTGTAACTCAGGACAAGTTAAACAAATCAGTGAAGGAAAAAGCAACTGCTGTACTTTCAGAATCTCACTTTTTAGTAAAGATTTCAACAAAGACTAGCTAATTTGTAAATACTGTATATATGAAGATCTTTATATTGTTGGATAACAAGAAAGGCTAGAGTGCAAAAGTGAAACTTTTGTATATCTACTTGTGATGCAAGTGTTATATCTTATATTGCTGTTACAGACCCAGGATGGTATCCATTATAATGTGCTATGTTAGGTCAGAGTATTACTTATTTGAGGATCCTAACTGACCAGTTGATGCTGAGAAATGTTCTGGGGTGTCTTTGGTAGTTGAGATAAATATTTGAAATTCCCACCAATTGCATGTCAGTTAGCAAACTGTTGGTACAGTCAGTACTTTGTCATATTAAAGCTGTAAACAAAACACAGTTTGTGCACAATTCAAAATAAAAGATTCCAATATTTATTCAAAAACTTTGCATAGTAGGAGGAGAATAAAACCAGATAGTGGGATGGCAGTTGGGGGAATTGCAGCAATTATGAAAACAAATGGTCCTATCATACTCTTCCTTACATTTGCCCAAGGGCTAAACATACCAAGTTTGTTAAACCCACTTCCAAAGACACAACCTCACTACCCATTCTTGAACTGTTTCTAATTTCTCTGATAGTTTCTTAAAATGTAATATTCAACACTGAATATAACAGCCTTACATTTGTCTCCATTTTTTTCCTATTTTTAGCTTGTTTCTCAATCCTGTCATTATTCTGGAATGTATTTCTGTCATCTAAAGTTTCAGATATACTGTATTTTTTGCTCCATGGCACACTTAGCTTTTGAGGAGGCAAAGACAAAAATAATATAAATATGGAGGGCTGTCTCACTGTGAATATGGAGCCAGCAGTGTAGTGAGGGCAGGAGGCGGAGCCTGAGAGGACCACAGATAGGTGTCCTCTTGTGCCAGCTCTGCTATTCACTTCTGAACTATAGAAAAGACAGAAGAGGCAGGGTTCAGCACTGTAAAAGGACCCTGCTGCCACAACCCTGCTGCTATCTATTCATATTTACGTCATAAGATGCACAGACATTTCCACTCACTTTTTGGGAGGGGGGGTGGAATTGAGTCTTATGGAGCGAAAAATACAGTAATTCCACCTGGTTTATGACATCTGCAAGTGCGAAAAGCATTCCATCCAGCTCTTTAAGTAATTTATAAATCAAATCTTTTACTACGGTTGATGACCAAGATATAGGTTCAACTCGTTGGAGAAAAGGGAAATGGGATAAAGATAGTCAATTTACTCAAAAAGAAGGCAGAAAAGAGGAGAAAAGAAAGGCAAAAGCAGCAGGAAAGAACAGAGTACCAAATCATTTTTAAAATATGTAAGGCAACAAAAATGGGAAGAAATACTTAACTGAAGGATTTACAAACCCATATTGTTGTGTGACTGTCCAGTAGAGTAGTAATTAATACAAAAGTTTTGATCATAGAGAACAAAGGATTGAACTTGTGGCCTCTTGCTCAATACCTCAATCTAGTTTGATCAGAAAACAATAAAACCAGCTGTGTTTTCGCTTAATCATATGCACCAGTCCACATTTAAATAGCTTCCTAATAAAATATCAAATGCTTTAATGAAATCAGAGGGAACATCAGAGTTCACAAACGTGATTACAATTCACTACAAAATCATAATCATGAGCTGGTCACCAAATACCCAAATGGTAATAATGTGACCATTGTGACAGCAGGAACAAGAGACATCATAAATTCCTTTCATTCAGCATTGTAATTTTGAGCAATTGCTGAATAAATGGTTGCAACATGAGGACTGACTATAGTTAAAATGAGATAATCTAGCAAAATTTATTCCTGACAAATTCATGTTGAGTTCTAGAAATCACTGCACTGTTTTCTACGTATCTACTGTTCCTAGATATTTAAAAAATCAGTTCAGTGTTTTCATGACAGATTATTCTTTCAGAAAGCAGTTTTGCTCTATAATTCTGCAAATGGAATTTGCACCTCATACCAAAGTAAAATGGCTTTCTTGTTTTTACGGTACCAAATAACACCTGCAGATAAACCGAATATTCTGTGTGTTAGAATACACCTTAAAAATTGGATTTGGTTTATCAGAGATGGGCTTATCTGCAATTGTATATGGCAATGCTTTTTAAAATACATATATATCTAATTAATATCTGTCTAAATAATCTGACTTTATTAATTAAGTCAACTGACTGTATCAAATTTTTAAAAACTAATTCATGTTTATAATAAGTCATCAACCCTACAGATAATCCTGATCTGATTTGTCCTCTTCAAAATGGCCTTTGAAATTAAGAGTGCAGTTTTATTAGTAATTTGCAGGTTCATTCCCTACAAAAAGTAAGGGTTTCTCCTGGTGCCCCAATATTGTTTAGTTTTTAAGTAAGATTCTGAGTAAACAACCCTTTCTGCAGAATGCAGTTTGCAACCCACAATAATGTATC